TAAAAATAAATCGTAACCTCTTAATGATCCATCAACCTACACCAAAGATTGGGTCCTCTTGTGAGAATTAGCAACCTTAATCATCTGTCCATCTTCCTCGCCGTTCCCATCTCCGTTACTTCTCTCGCCTGCTCTGCGGCCGCCACTCTGAGCCTATCAACTGAAACCCTTGAAATTTGCTCTTCAACTTCTCTATAATACCCATTCCTTCTTCTTCTCTTCTCTCTTTGCCCGCACCCGAGAACCCGCCGCTCATATGAGCAAGGCTGTAAGGTAGCTAGGTTTCCTGATGATGCCTCCCAGTAGAGGAAAGGGTAATGTGCACAATAGCTTCCCTGTCAATTCCCCTATGGCTGATGATCACTTAGGGATTGGACTCACTTTTCTGCAGATGAATCGTTGATTCCCATATTAGAGACTTTCAGCGATGAAGGAATGTCGGCTCCAATCGGGCAAGGGGAACAAACGCGCTCTGCATAACTCCATCGAACGGTTCTGGAATTGCACATCTGTGAAATGCAATCGGTAGAGAGGAAGAGAGCAAGTGGGAGGAGGAAGGACAGAGAAATACGGGGAGGATGGTTTACGAACTTACGGGAACAGTTGAGGGAGAAGAAAACCAATTGACGAAAGTGGAATGAGTAATGAAATCCCGCCTAAATGGGTTACCACGTCAGCTTCCGAAAATCACTCCAAGAGCAGGAAATTTTAAATGGAGGTAGCAGTTTTACTTTTCAGCTATAAATGATACTGTAGATGCACATAATAGAACAATGCATGCTACAAAATTCAACAACTTGCATGGTATAATATAAAATAAAATATGATAAATATAAAAAAAAAATCCAAGAGATTGGTGCCTTAGTAATAATTAGCAATGCTTTATTGGCGTGGACTTCCCTTGCCTATTTATATTTTGAAGGAATGTACTAATTGGATAATTTTGAGGTTTACCAATGCATGGTACATGCATATTACGATTTTGCAATAAACAGGGTTAATGTAAACATATTTCAGGCGATTGGTTTCATATATTTAAAAATTAATATGCGTACAATATTTTGTCTTCACCACCTACAAAATTTACGTGTACTTCAACATTTTTTATGTCGTTATCATGATTATACAGATTCAGAGTCAACCTTTGAGTTGCGGACGAAACATGAGAGTCTGAATTTGTTATTATGGATAGAGTGGGAGCTCGATTTTTTGGAATCGTCGTCTGAATGGCTAACAAGACAACGGTAGAATTAGAGGACCATCACCTGCTCATCTCTTAAAAATTGAGGGAATGATATTGAAGTTCGGCATCAAGCTCACATATTGCAACATCTCTAATCTAACCAGTGAGTACATAATTTTTAAGATAGAGAAGAATGAGAAAGACCAACCGACCGACGATCTTCCTGATTGATCGAGATAAATTATATTTGCATCAAAATGATGATAAATATTAATTACAAATTCATGCTATTCTCTGTTGAATTTCGATTCTTATACCATGCACACTTCATAATGAGTTATATCCTATAATCTAATTCATACCATGCCCTGCCGGATTAAGGGAGCTATAGGTTTAATTAATATAATTGGCTCGATGAAGGGAGCTGAGGGTTTTGATTAATAAAATTGGCACTTTAATCTAATTCATACCATGCAACTACCGAATTAAAGGAGTTGTGAGTTTAATGAACACAATTGGCTTCGACGAAGGGATCTGAGGGTTTTTATTAATAAAATAGGCCTTTAGCTATTTAACGTCTTACTTACTGAGGTTCGTGCAAATAGGGTGTTCAAATAGTTATCAGGGTAATTACCAAACCAAAAATTACCAAACCAAATAAGCCAAAATTCTATTAACTATTGAATATAATATCATAACCAAACCGTCCAAATTAATACAACAATCAAATTAACCAAACTAAAGTTTAATCGGTTTGGTTAATTGGTTAACCAGATTAACCAATATAACATCACATTATCATTAAGTGAAAAAAACTTCGGTTAATGCATCAATTCACAATTTATATGACGAATAAAACATTATGATGAACACATAGTTATAGTTAACCCTTACAGAATTACATGCAACTACAATGATCTTACAGTCAATACAAGTATTCGCCTAATAAAAATATGGATTAGTAACATTTTACACCCTCTACTATGATAGATTAACAAATGTACCTCTCTACAAAAATTTTGCACAAAAATATCCTTCTAATATTAAAATATAACAAGTTTACCCTTACATCTAGTTTTCTGTCCGTTAAATGAGGTGTTAAATGACCTAATTGTCCCTCATTTACTCTAAACACTCATAATTTCGGTTTATTTATTTTGTCCCAAATTAATTAATTAAAAAAGTAAACTCCAAACTAATTCACACTAGAGACCATCCGTCTGCCCTGGCCCTCGACTCGGCGACGACGCCTGCTCTCGGCATCTCCTCGCCAGCGGCTGGAGTAGAGAGAGCCGCTCGATAGGCTAGAGACGAGGATGATGCGAGGATCGAATTGTGGAATTAGGTCACCAATAGTCGGAAGAGCTCCAAAGATTGGACGAGTGAAGGATGAGAAGATGAGTGTATCGATCTCGGGAGAGGGCCAAGGGAAACGAATGTGTGAATTAAGTGAGAGTTACTTTAGGATTTTTCAATTATTGAATTGAGATATAAAATCATTAAAATCAAAATTAGGAATGTTTAGAGTAAATAAGGGGCAGTTGGGTCATTTCACAACTCTTTTAAGTTTTAACGGTCACTTAACAGATAATTAGATGGAAGGGTAAATTCGTCACGTTTTAATATTAAAAGAGTATATTTTTGCAAAACTTTAGTAGAGGGTTGCATTTGTTAATCTATCATAGTAGAGGGGTACAAAATACTATTAACCCTAAAAGTATATGTCAATAGTATGAAGCTATTTAGTTGTTGTGTTGTGTGAATCGAATTGGTCTCTTAGCAATTATCATAGGTTGAAAATACCTTCCTTTCAAGTTTTCATCTAATATATTGTATGAGTTTTATCTAAATTGGGTGTTCATATATCATGATACACTCTACAAATACAAATATTGAGCTTTATTGTTGATGAGTCTAAAAGAAAAGAATGTTTGGCCTTGAGTGGTTATGCCAAGTATTAAGTATGTGTTTACAATATATATTAGATATATGGATAATTACTTAATTGGTTAATTTGGTTTGATTCGTTAGGAGTGCCTGAAACCAAATCAAACCACCTAACCCAAACAAGCTAAGATTTTTGACCAAACCAAACCAATTATCCAAATTAACAAACCAGATTAACCAAATACTACCGGTTAAAACAGTTAGCATGGTAACCACACCGTTTGAACACCCCTGCTGCAAAGGTGTAGAACACCCTTTTATTCTTTTCATGGTTTGCTTGGAAATATGTAGGATCCAATACTTTTAATCTTCCTATAAGGTATGGAATTTTCCTTCCTTTACCACCAACTTGCAATCAATTATATCCGGCAATAATTTTATCTACAATATATATTGACCAATCATAATTCCCAAAAATCACACCATGTGTTACACTTTATAATGCCATATATCTAAATTCATAATGCTATGTAGGAGAACAAAAATGACTCTGCTAATTATGAAGGTAATGGATCCGATGCTAGAGACGATGATTAAGAAGAAGAAAGACATTGTTCATAAGGAAAGTATAAAGACTAATGATGGAGAGAAAGAAGACGAGATAAATTCTACTCCAATGAAAAGGTGATTTCTATTTGAAAATATATTTGAACATCAAATTTTTGTGTTCAATGAAATACAGGAGAACAATGAAGAGATAACTGAAATCCAAGAGAAGAAGGAAGAGTCAATTGATATTGGAGATGAATGTGTCACTAGTGGATAGGAATAGATTATCAATGGTGACGATGAGGTTGTTGCTCATGCCGAAGGAAATGCAAACCAGTCAAGAAGAAAACATGCAGTAATCTCTGACGATGATGAGTAATTAGATGGTTCATTTTATTGGTATTTAGGAGTCGATTCTCTTGCATGGGAGTTTTATATCATTTTCGTAAAAATATTTTAGTCGATTAATCATTACTATGTCGAAAACAGTATGCCATTCTTCCTATTGAAAGTTGAACCATTTTAATAATTGGGTTCTCTTATTCACCAAATCGGTTGGAATATTTAGAGTATTTGAAGAACTAAGATTTTCTTATACTAATGCGTACTGATCAAATACAAATTCTAATTGTTATTTACTTGATTGACAACTAAATCCGGCCAATTGGCCGGCCCATGACTAGTATGTAATTGACCCTATTCTGGTTGAATTTTCAACCTCCCTTAATAAAATAAAATAAACAATTAAAGCAATGAGTACCCCACCCACCGGTCGGCGTGTCATGCATTTTCTTGACGGCCGAACCAATGACATGTGCCTCCGTCAGATTTATACATTTAGCGATGGCTGAAGGTCTCCGTCACTAAGTAGCTGTCACTAAATTACCAATTTCTTATAGTGATATTTATTTTTTGCTCATTTATTTTTGTATTAGATAGATTATGATTTTATGTGTCGATATTTGTTTTACTGAGTTTGATTTTATGTGCTTTAAGTAGGGGTGGCAGTCGGTCGATTTCGGTTTAACCGAAAACCCAGTTATCGGTTAAACCGAGCACCCCCTATAGCTGTCGACCATCGACCGTGAGAGGTCACGGTTAGCCGGCCAACCAACCGGTCAGTTTTGATTTTAGGCTCGGTTAGCCGGCCAACCGGAAAACTAGCTTTTCTACCCAAAAAAAAAAATTCTGCACCACTCGTCTCAATCCTTATCTCCTCCTCTCTCCTTCCTTCCTCCAGACCTCCACCAGACCACTTCTCTTCTCTCTCCTTCCTTCCTCCACCATTTCACACCCACCAAACCACTTCTTCTTCTCTCCTTCCTTCCTCCACCATTTCTCATCCCAACACGAAGAAAACAAAGAGGGCGAGGGAGGAGAAATGGTAGTAGTCTCCACCCAGCAGCAGGCGCATGATGACGACTCATCAGCTAATTACGACCGAGCCGTCGAATTGACAGCTTTTGACGAGACAAAAGCCGGAGTGAAAGGTCTAGCCGACGCCGGCATCACTGAGGTGCCTCGCATCTTCCACATCCCGCCTCACCTCGTGGACCGCCGCCCAACAATACCTCTCGTGGACGCTCCAACCCGCTTCCGCTTCCCGACCATAGACCTCCAAGCTGCTGATTGAGCTCGTCGGGATTAATCTCGAGTGGGGTTTGTTCTTTAGCGCGAATTCGTACCTAGCGCTGGCGGGGGAGGAGGGTTGGCTCGCGGCCGACGGAGGGAGGAAGGCGGGGTCGGTGTTCCACCGGATTAGGGCTCGCCGGGGCGACGAGGATGGAGGCGGCGGCTGGAGGTTTTTTGCGCCGCTGCGCGAGAAGGGGGAAGGGCGGAAGGGTTGAGCGACGAAGGTCGAATGCTTTGGGAGGAGGAGGGAGTCGACTTAGGGTTAGGGAGGAGCAGGATTGAAGCGGGGTCGTTTTGGGGAAAGGGAAGGGGTCGGTTAGCCGGTTAACCGCCGGTTTCTGACCCCGGTTAGTCGGCTAGCCAAACCTCTTCCCATCTCCACCGCCAACCGACCGATGCAAGCAAAAACGGTTTTTCAGTTAGTTGATAACCGGTCGGTTCAGTCGAAACCGTCCGGTTAACTGCTAACCGAAAACCGTTCTGCCATCCCTAGCTTAAAGTTATTTTGGTTTGTGTCATTTACATTTAGAGTATTAAATGTTTATATTTTTTGTTGGTTTAATTGTTTAAGGGGTCGTTTGGTTTCTCCAATTGTTAAATTGATGTATTGTGAACAATACATGCATTATATTATACATGTATTGTTGAATTTGGTGTATTGTAGATTACAACGTTTGGTATTTGTGATTGTGTTTTCAATAGTTAAGAGGAAAAGTAACTTTTTAACAAAAGTGTCATTTGTATCCCTCATTGTTAATGCAAAAAGTAACTTCTAAAGGTTAAAGTTGGAAGAAAAAGAAAGAAAACAATCTCAACAAATACAATCCCAACAATCTCAGCTAAAAGCTGAGATTGTACAATCATTCATTATGAATTATTGTTTCTGTCACATGAAGTAAACAATACATGTATTGTCAGTGTATAGAAAATCAGAAAAACGATGAATTGTAAACAATACAACCATTGTAACAATCTCAACCAAACAATCACAGAAACCAAATCACCCCTAAATTCATTTTACAAGCTTTAAAACAAATTCTTGTCACCTCAACCACAATAGTTTTATGCAATACTAGTAGTTGGTTAGAAATAGTGCAGCAAATGAAACGTTTGGAAATACACAATCCTAGATAATATGTTCTTATATATAATCATTTTGATTGACATACTTGTTGGTCATCAATATTCCATACTTTTCCTTACAAAACTATCCTACTGCTAATTAAAGTTAGAATGTTAGTACTGTTGCATAAGAGGTTTTTGAGTTTACACTACTGTCATTCTTCTAGCTGACCCGCATGATTCATCATCGCCATATGGCGTTTCAGTGGGGATTATTATTTAGTTATATGTTTGGGGACCTTGGCTACTTAAGGTAGGTTTGGGTATTTTTCCATGTTTATGAATATGACTATTATAACATAGTTGGTAAATATATGTATTCATATGTATTTATTCGGTTAAAACTTTCGTATCTGTATTATTATCAAGTTGCTTAATTTTTCTTCGTTCATTTAATGGCTCTCGTACTAAAGACGTATAAAACAGGTATAATATGTTTAATATCCGTACATATTTTATAATAACTTACCTGTACCGTATCCTTCTAACTATAATATTATAATTAGGGATAATTGAAAGTAGGGGTGGGCAATGACCCGATTCACACCATACCAAATTGTATTGAATCGATATTTGGATCGAATAATATTAGATTGAATATATTTCTTTTTGATTAATATATTATTTTATTTATGAAGAAGAAATGGATCGAAATTGGATTGGTACTGAACCGAATCGAACCAAATGAACCTAACACGAACATGCTTTTGGTTCGATTTTGATCGTTTGTTTTTTGTCCGATCCTAAGTAAATTCAATTAAGTTCTGGACCGAATCGAATGATGACACCCTAATTGAAAAGGACGTCGAGTGGAAGGAAGGGAATAACTATTATTAGGTGGCCAAATAAGGGCGTAGTAGTATTATGGATTCGTAGTGTACTTCCCATAAATATGTGATTTGGTATTAGGATTGAGTGTGAATGGTTTGACCATGCAGACTTATCTCCTCTGACTTTGTCATATTTGGCCTTGATATTAATTCAAGAGCTAAATAATTTGTTTTTTTCAATTTGTAAAAGGATTCAGGTTATGTATAACACTTCTGGTTGTATCGTGTCTTTGTACTCATTATGTCTTATTGTAAGTTGTATCAAGGTTTTTGAACTTGGTGTTAGTAATTAGCTTGTGATAATATCATTATATCGATGTCAAGAACCAGTTGATCCAAATAATTTGAAAGAAAAATTTAATTATTAATCATATACCATTTACTAACTCTACTTTCGTTAGTTATCCCCAAATTATATAAAGGTAAACGTTAGAGCTTGAGATGCCATTTGAGCTTGAGGTGTTGAGGTACCGTTTGAATTTGACCTATTTATTTCACGGGAAAAAATCCCAAAATACTCTAATTATTAAAAAAAATTCCCAAAATACAGTACTTATGAAAATATTTCCCAAAATACAGCAGTTTGAACATCACCGCTGCAAACCAAGACACTGAAGGCAATCACCGTTTTGGACAAAAACGGTGATAGCATCATCGCTTTGGTTCAAAACGATGACGCTATCACCATTTTTGTCCAAAACGGTGATGCTATCATCGTTGTGGAGAACAACAGTGATGCCATCATCGCTGTGGTTAATGACGGGGATTAAAGCGGTGAAGAGATCTTCACCGTTGAAATAAAAAGCGGTGAAGTGGCGCGGATCGCTGACGTGGACACGCGCGGGCACTTCACCGCTAATGACCAAAGCGGTGATGGCCCCGCTTTCCACGTCAGCGATCCGCGCCACCCGCGCTTTCACCGCTGCCGTTAGATGTAGTGAGGCGCGGATTGTGGATTTTCTCCACGATCCGACGCCTCACGCCGCGCCACGTCAGCAATCCAAGCCTTCAGCGCGCTCATTTAACGCAGTGACTTCACTGCTTTCATCCGACGCGGTGATTGGTTCCTGGTGAGATTTCCAGCGCCCCTTTCCCCTATAAATACCCCCCCCCCCCTCATTCCAAACCACACCAAAATCTTATACTTCTTTCTCCCTTCTTTACTTTACTCTAGTTTCGTTCTAAGTATGCTCTGTGGTTGCGGCTAAGTCCGATCTTCCGCATCAGAAAGAATTACTAGAGTTTTTGTTTTGTCGATACTCTCGCTAGCTTTTCGGCAAAAAATGGACGAAGAGGCTTTGAGAGTACGTAAATTAATTTTATTCTTTTGTGATTTTTTTTTACATGGGTGCTAAAATTTAAATTGATTTGATTTTATATTTTTTTATAGGTGGGTGCTGAGATATACGACCCTCGATTGTATATCGATCCTGGCCCAAGGGATCGAAGGTATTTAATCGGGCAAGATCAACATCGCTCCCGTTCAATTTGGAACAATAATCCGGTAGACACACTAAAATTATTTCAATAGTTTTAAAGTTTTTATTTTGCTTTCTATTGACTGACAATATTGTGTTTTTTGTTTTGTAGGAATCACTTATTCCCATCGCTCATCGAGGGACATGTCGATTGCCCCGTTGGCATGATCGACTGCAGCCCTATATAGAGAGGACGGGATTGCACATGCTGAGGCACTTTACGAGGCTTGATATTGACAACGATCTGCTGACGGCAATGGCAGAGCGATGGCGCCCCGAGCTGCATACCTTCCACTTTCCCGAGGATGAAATGACGATCACCCTCAAAGATGTTGCCATCCTCACCGGGCTCCCGATCACCGGAGATGCCATCATCGACAGCTCGAAAAAACCGGAAGATGGTTGGGGGCCGTTGATTCAAGAGCGTTTGGGGTTCAACATGCCGACCACCACGCCCGTCGACGAGGTTGGGCATCCACCACTGAATGCGGGGCAAGTATCTGTCCCGTGGCTTGTTGACCACATCCAAATGGAGGTTAATATAGGCCCGGACACTCCTGAAGATCAGGTGGAGCGGTATGCACGTGTCTACCTAATTGGTTTGGTTGGTGGGTTTCTGTTCCCCGACAAGTCAAACCGGTGGATACAAGGCATGTGGTTAAATATGCTCCTCGGTGACTGGGACGAGATCGGGAAAAAAAGTTGGGGGTCGTCCGTCTTGGCTGGGACCTACTGAGAGTTGTGTACTTGCTCGAGGTTGGGAGCGAAACAAGCTGGTGGCGCGATGTTCATACTCCAACTCTGGGCATGGGAGCATCTTCCGTTTTTAGCACCTCGAGACCCTCGGGAATTCTGGTTGCCAGATGATGAGCTACGATTTGTAGCAAATCCCCCATATGGTTTCAAGTAAGTTTAATTTAAGTTTAATTTATTTTTTATATGCAATGGTAGTATTTTAGTGAATTTAGATCTATTCCAAGTAAGCGAATTTAGTGAATTTTAGTGAATTTAGATCTATTCCAAGTAAGCGAATTTAGTGAATTTTAGTGAACTTAGATATCTTTCAAGTAAGCAAATTTAGTGACATTTTAGGTCTGCCATTATAGTATTTTAGTGAATTTAGATATCTTCCAAGTTAGCAAATTTAGATTTATTCTAACCAAATCGTATTTAGCTAATTTAGATTATTGCCAAGTAAGGAATTTTAGTTCAATTTAGATGCTTCCATACAATCATACTTAACAAGTAAACATCTATGCCATAAAAATTGCTTATATACGTAATTTTGCTTAATTAGGTGGATCGGAGCAAATACAAACGACCACCAGCCCGAACACTCTTTGCTGTTTTATCGTGCTGAATTCGATAAGCCTTGGTGGAACCAGGTAAAAATATAAAATTTCATCATTTTCAATTTTTAGGTGGAGTGGATATAATTTGTACTAATTCCATGAACTATAATGATTGTAGGCGGTATGGATCCATATCCAAATGAAGTGGTTGAGTTGCATCGTCTTAGACATCCCGAGGATGAAGAGACATGGCACATGTGCGGTGGTATCGAAATTTCA